CGGCACGCAGGCTGCTGCCAGGTGCTGAACAGGCGGTCGTTGTCCCCGTAGTCCGGTCGTGGCTGGCTGTGAGCCGGCCAAGCCGACTGCCCACGGTACAGCGCAGTTGTCGCGCTGTCGTGCTCAGCATGGCGGGACGCGCTGCCTCGCGTTGGAGGCAGCGTTTCACGCGGGTAGAGCAATATTGTGAACTGCTTGTTCCGCCGGACCATCTATGGGCGTACCTTTCAAGCATGTGTTCGTATATGTGCAACTTGTTTGGAATATTATCATGCACGAGTCGCGGGGTCGGCAATGAACTTTGCATGATTTACCAGTTGTGTGACGTAACATTCGACAATCCTCGCTAACTTGAGCACAATTTGTCGGCGATTTTGATATCAGAGGCTATTACACCGGATGGTTCTTGCAGTATGTATAACCCGCGCATGCACGGATCCCGGTGAGGGAATTCGCGAACATTCGAGACGATCGCGGTCGTTAATTGCACCGTCAGATCATGGACCTTTTGATGAACTGTAAGCCTAGAATGGGTTTTCAACCAAAACTAGTTGCGAAGCCGGGTATAAATGTAGCGTCGCAGCGGGGTGCTTGCAATATTTTTACATGTTATTGCAACCTTGCAGGTTTTTCGCAGATCCTTCTGGTTGGGTTCTTTATCCTTTTGAAAACAATGGAGGCGATTCCATACTGCTACCATGCTTTGTTTGGCCGTAAACCGCTGCTGCGACATAATGCACACCGTTGCAACAATTTCCAAAATCATGTTTAAAGCCTCTTGCCTTGTGGAAGCACCGAAGGTGGTTCTAGGGTGTTACCTGGCCTCGTTTAGCTGCGAACTGCTCTTTCAATATTCTGCAGACCTGCAATAACTTCAAAATCCCCTTGTGGTTATTGTGCCTCGTCAGAACAATGAAGGTGGTTCTAGGGTGCTACTTTGCTTCATTTGCAAACCGCTTTGGCGACAATACCCCAAATCCCCATAGAGAAGCTATTGTGTCCTGTGAGAACATTGGGGTCGTTTCTAGGGCGCAACCTTGCTTTTTTTGGCCGTGCATCGCTTTTCGACATTTTACAACATTTCAACAATTGGAGAATTTCGGCACTTCAGGGCTTCATTCTCCCTACAGCCGTTGGAGACAATCGCGGGGTTCTTCGGTGCTCATTTTGCCGTTGGCAGTGGCTTCAGCGTTCTGCGACATTTTAAAACAACTGTGATAGTTTGTGTCTTGAGCTTTGAAGCCCGCGTGGCCGATGACGCTTCATTTCTTCATGACTTTTTTATTCAATGATGGTGGTACCCCATGTGTTCATATAACCTGACCGTTTTCAAGTCAAATTGCACTCAGTAATGTGCTGCGCTCCATTCTCCCTTCGGCACGTATACTGGCGTGAGGCTGGCCAATTGCTTGTGAGACCCACAGGCACGCCACTGCTCGGGGTGGAAGCTGAGGTTGGGTTTAGCAACATAATGATATAGAGAGCAGTCCATAGAGGGGTTCTTCCCTGCTGCGCCCACCTGGCACGGCCTTGGCTGTGATGCGCGGTTCAGGGCATCTCGTCTGCTCCCTTCCAGTGTGTATACAGCCTCAGCATTAAGGTTAATTTTAATGTTAGTATATTTCGTCTATCCATCCTCTTGCTGAGCTGCCGCCGGTTCCAAAGGTCCTTTTATTTTTCCTGCTTTCAATCGACTCAACGCCTCCGGCCACTGTCACGTTGCATTCATTCATCACATTCCGTATCAACTTCCGTTTCACAATTTTGCCCCTCTAGTCCCATCCAGTGGCACGTAGGGTTGGGGTAGAGTGCTGCTGCCCAAAATGCTGCCAAATTGTGAGGCTGTAGAAACTGTGAACCCACGTTTGCAATGTTATTTCCTCCATATCTCGTCACGTCAGGCCGTTCTACAAGGGCGTCTTGTGCTATTTGGGTTGCGGGTCAGTGACGCATAACAAGATGCACTTGCCTTGGATCCAGGGTTTCCCCCATCCTTGGTCGCCCAGGTAACTTCCTTATCCCTAAAGGGGTTTGCCTTCCCATTGCCAATGTCTAAGGACTTTATGACTGGTATCGTTTATACCGACGTCACAGAGCGTGGCGTGTTTCGCGAGCGTTTTTGCGAGATCCTAGGAGGACTTTAACGATTCGCACCTTTTGCAATGCCTTGTGACATAGTTCCGGTATTATGAGAGCTGCTCGGCTGGCTGCTCCTCCCTCTTGAACGAGATCAGCCCTTCTGCGTTATCACTTCTGCTCTGCTCTGACGGCCCAAGATCCTGTCTCTATTCGCAGTTTCCAGTGTTGGCATGCATCATGGACATGGAAGCCCTGCGTACATATCGTGCGTGCCTGCATAGTCATCCTTGGCATCACGCGCCCGCTACGTTGTCATTAGTTCATCGAGAGTGTCTTCGGCTTGCCCCGACAACATGGCAACATCGAGAGAAGGCCTTTTTCCTTTAAATCACGCGTGCCATGCGTAGAATGCCCCCTTCAAGAGCCTGAGTGATCTGTGCGCCTTCGAATAGGAGTTCAATGATTCGTGACATTATTTGATCAGTGCTGTCCATAGTATCATCGTGCCCACAATTGAGTCATTATTTACGCTGCATTCGGATGCAGGCCATACCGTGGATTAGGAGCAAGTGAGATATATCGTGTCCAACGAAACCCCGTTCATGTACTTGGTGTAATGTTAAAAGTTATCAGGATTTGCGACTGCGCGATAAAACTTAACTGCAGCTAAAGTTTATTGCCCTGACACTGAGAGCGCTGCCGCGCAGATGCTATCAGAGTGACTATTTCGAGTTGACGTAGTTGTCCAGCTTAATTGGCGGGTGCTTGTTATGTCATGTGATGTCAGGTTAGGTCATATTCAAACGGGTGTTATGCCCGGAATGTCGCAAGAAGTCACCTAGAATTGATTCCTGCATTACACTTATGGCATGCGTGGACCGTTAGCAACCAGTGCAACATAATACATAGGGGACAGACAGAACAACGTCTGGTCCTGCTCGGTCCCCCAATTTTGGACTTAGCGCGGTACCGCCTTTGCCGCTGAACCCGTAACACGCGCTGATTCTGAGAACGCAGAAATGTCTTAGTCTGCATCTGCTCATCCCTTCTGTATGGTGAGCATCGACAAGACAACTAAAAGAAAGGGAGTGTTCCACATTTGTGCCGGGTTTTGAACTGAAACGCCCCGTTCAAAGATTGTTCGAAATAGTTTACAGCCCTTCCCTTTTCAAGGCCTAAATCCCAGTTTCTGAGCCACACGCCCGCGAATATGTGCTATTTCGGGTTGGCAAAAGTCAGTTAGGCATCCAGGGTGCTATAATAACGCCATTTGAGTTATGTTATTCCAGTAAATGTGGGGCGCTCAAAGCCAATAAACATGTAATCGTCGAATCGCCTTTGCTGCCGCCTTCCACTTACGGTCGTCCCGCGGGTACCGCCGCCTTCCGCTTACGGTCGTCCCGCGGGTACCGCCGCCTTCCGCTTACGGTCGTCCCGCGGGTACCGCCGCCTTCCACTTACGGTCGTCCCGCGGGTACCGCCGCCTTCCACTTACGGTCGTCCCGCGGGTACCGCCGCCTTCCGCTTACGGTCGTCCCGCGGGTACCGCCGCCTCCGCCGCTTTTCACCGACGTACGCCTTTAGGTGGCGTCGCCACCGCCGCCGCCTTCCAACGACGGCCTCCCCTCAGGCGCCGCCGCCGCCGCCGCCTTCCAACGGCGGTCTCCCCTGAGGTGCTGCCGCCGGCCGCTGCCTTCCAATGACGGTCTCCCTCAGGTGCCGCCGCCACAGTCGCTGCCTTCCAACGACGGTCTACCCTGAGGTGCCGCCGCCGCCGCCGCTGCCTTCCAACGGCGGTCTCCCCTCAGGTGCCGCCACCACCGCCGCCGCCTTCCAACAACGGTCTCCCCTCAGGTGCCGCCGCCGCCGCCGCCGCCTTCCAACGACGGTCCCCCCTCAGGTGCCGCCGCCGCCGCCGCCTTCCAACGGCGGTCTCCTCTCAGGTGCCGCCGCCTTCCAACGACGGTCTCCCCTCAGGTGCCGCCGCATTCCAACGACGGTCTCCCCTCAGGTGCCGCCGCCTTCCAACGGTGGTCTCCCCTCAGGTGCCGCCGCCTTCCAACGACGGTCTCCCCTCAGGTGCCGCCGCCTTCCAACGGTGGTCTCCTCTCAGGTACCGCCGCCTTCCAACGACGGTCTCCCCTCAGGTGCCGCCGCAGCCGCCTTCCAACGACGGCCTCCCCTCAGGTGCCGCCGCCACCCCCTTTCACTTCAGGTCACCCCTCCCCAGGTGGCGCCGCCACCTCCTCCGCTGCGCTGTCTACCACCCGCCTCTTTCCATGCTCTGCCGATGTATGTGCATGTTTGGCTCATGTGTCCATGTTTTCTGTGCTGTGAATAATTACTTTATTGGTAATGTAATTGTGCAATGCCATGTAAATAGTGACAATATCGGTGGAAATCATGTCACTGTACCAGTCTAGCTAAGACTTCACATTAAGAACCAGCTGGGCCAGTAGCCAACAAACTTAACTAAGTCCCAATTCATGCGTTATCGCTTTGTATGGTTTTGTGTACCATGGCATGGCCTTAGAGGTCGGCGCACTCTAAAACCCCAATCATCATTATATCAAGCCGCCGTCGACACCCTCCGTGCCGCCAGTGGGCTGCAGGACATATTCCTGGACATGGTCCGAAAGCATCCTCTGCTTAAGTGGGAATTCCTCGGAGATTACATCACCGCGCAGTCAGCAACAGTCGGCCATACGACCGAGCCCTCTGCGTCTGGGCGACCACAACCCCCTCCGCAGCCCGCGGCGCCAGGCACATCCGGACCTCCGCCATCTGGCTCGCCCCTGTGCTGCCCCTGTGGTGCATCTTAGGCAGGTAGCCCACAAACGTTGAATCAAATGCACGATCAACACTGGAGCAGCGATTGATGACAATCCAGTGTGACCACATCAAGAGTTGTACATATTTATTTATCACAAAACCATCGTATTCTCTCCAAGCAGTCATTCAACACATCCAGCAACCGTTTAAAACCACGGGCGTCGAAGCGCACCAAACACACGACAGGCAGATCCAGCAAACCTTTGCCCATTACGACAGCACCTCTGCTAATTACGAGATATCAGCAGAAAATCCGTGTTATAGTGTCACCCGGAAACATTAAAGAAGGCACCAGCTTACATTTAGATGGTTCTTTAAAATGGAGGATACAATTTGCAGGCACAGGCTAATACAGCAGGCTGTCGGAACGAACGTGCCGTTTACAAAACGTAGTTAGCATTTAAGCAGTAACACAAGGCGAAAACAAAGCGAATAGTCATCCCGGTAATGAAAGGAATTACCAAAACACGAACGGAGGAAAATACGGATACATTTGACGATCTTTCACTGAGTAAAGGATGCATCCAGCAAGGAGCGCTTCATATAACTCGCTGCCAACGGTGCTTTACGAGGTCACTGGGAATCACGCCGGCATTGTCGCAGATCCACCGCGCCGGCAGCTAGATATCGACAACTCGTGTTAATGACTTCGCGACTGATATTGTCGTAATGAACATCAGGAGATGGAGCCAGAGCGAAAGACTGAACTGCAACCTGGAGCACGTGGATGCTTTCCTTGCCACTTGCAACCGGGACCAGACCCGACCAGATACCGCCACGGAACAGGTGCAGCAAACGTGCACTACGAGCATCCGGCCAGGGGAATTCGACAAATTTGAGCGCCTTCTACACTGACATTGCTCTTGGAGACCAGATGAAACAGTGTCAGGTTCTGAAGCTTGGCGCAAAACGCTGACAAGTTCCATTTCTATTGTACAGCTTGGCATTCCGTGCATTGCTTTTTCCCATCGATCATCACGACCTGCGAGCGATGTGACACCCCACAATCCCGACGCGGTGCCATTTGGCGAATCTTCAATCCGCTTGTTCAACATTGGGCTTGAAATGGTTAACAACGTTCACCACCCAGCTATCGTTAACCCCTTTTGTGTAGTTCCGGATGAACCTGTAGTTCCACACGGTGAAATCGGGTAGCTGGTATGGAGGCACGTATTCGCTTTCCGACAGCCGATCTCGGTTCGCGAAGTTCGAGTGTACGTGGGCGCAGACGGTCACCTCAACCCAGCGCTTTTGTATATCTGTAAGGGAAGAGACGGACGGCAATAAAAACTGAATTCGCGAACACCACGCGATACTGAATGCGAATGCAAGTCTAGCAAGTCAAAGTTTTCCAATCATTGTTGCATGACATTCATCATAAGTTAATGCTTGGGAACATAACTATTTAAAACGGTGACAGCTTACTGTTACGCAACAAAGTTGGATCACACCAGCTGCAGTGGAGCGAATGGACACTAAAGTCGTTACGGTAACCGCCGAAGGTAAAATGCAGCCGTCATGATGGGCGCTCTGGCGACTACGCTAGAGAAAATCTAACCTGTTCCCATTTCTAGGTTTCCTGTTACTGTTTGCGCTGGAGGGTGGCAGCATGGATATCCAAGCACACGAGATCCCCGACTACAAACAAAAAATACATGCTTCGAATTTCCATCAGAACTTACCGTCATCTTCCTCTATGATCATGCCGATCTCGTAGGGGAAGATCGGCCCTATATTATCCCGGATAACCTTCAGATCACAACGCTCCTTGACCGAGAGGGTGGCGTAGTTCCTCTCGATCTCTGCCAGCGCCTCCGGCGTCACCAAGCCACGAAGGCCAGCGAAGTCACCGTTGGCCAGCTTCTCCGAGACGACTAAAAGGGCCTGGACGATAGGTGATCATTGTCAGGCACCGTTGGGTATGGAACATGCGTAGACGATGATGTATGTAGGTAGCAGGGCTGTTAGCTCTGCGTGGCCTGTCAACAAAGACGTATTCGCCGAACTGGCAAAATCGGAAGCATACTAGCCTTTCTAACCCATCAGGTCATCCATTCATGAAAGCCTCGCATAGTCAGTGCCCTAGTTGCCCCTAGTGCCCTGAGATGACCGCGCCCACCTTCCCTCTCACCCGCGTCACAACTTGCTGAAACGAGCAATGTGACACAGGTGTGCCGACCATGTGTTGTGTCCACAGTGAATGACAAGAGGAAAATAGACAGAAACCATCGCTCTAATAGCATTCCAAATATTGAGATAATTACTCTGAATTGACAGACGTCGTTGGCTGTCAGATCGTATGCCACAAAGATTGCCGGCGACAAATACTATGATCGACCAACGTGGTCAATGACGCGAATGGCCGCAGCCGAAAACATAACCAGTGACAAACGTCTGTGATAATGATCGCCAGGGCAAACCGCGCATGACAATATCGTACGGTTGAAACACAGCCCAACTCACCCTAACTCAACATGTGAATGCGGCTATACCCCGGGTAGCATTTCGTCAAGGTTTTTGCCATCGGAATATGGTATTCTGATGATTGCTCCGTGAGAGGTAGCGAGTTTTCTGAGATGACGAAACCTTTTCGATGAGTTTCTTTCCATGCAACGTCGTCGGAACGATGCTACATTTTACCCATTTTGAGAGGCAGGCCCCTGCCCCTACCCCTTTTTCAGCCCTGTTCTTAACCCACAACCCTTTATTTCGAACGTTATTTGCTCCTTACGATTTGTGACCTTGTGAAAATTCACATACGCCATATCAACATGCGACGATCAACATTACGTACAATCTACTTGATTTTTATCCAGCACCCAAACGATGGCAATCTTCCTGAAAATGTAGGGCCGCAATTCATCACGGCTGGAAATATACATTCAATGATGATCTTCAAAGTTCATCTTCCTAATATCCCAGCGTACTGCATGCACTTAACTACTTTACTTCATTTGCTTACCTGCTTCGCCCCGTCCAGGAACGTTGGAAACGAAAAGCTCTGATCCAGATAGGGCCTGATGACGAACAATTGGAGAAACACGTTCTTGGCCATCTTGACGAAGCTCGGAAACACAATGTGAGGGAAATCCATTAGGTCCCGCGACCCGGCCATGTCTGATGACATGGCAAGACGGGACTGAATGGGCCCGCTGGCAGTCAATGTCTGCGCCTGCGTGACCTTCGGGCGGCACATTGTGTGCAGCTGTCCCCTGTTTCCATTGCACCCTATGCCAGCCAGGTGCAACACGGCCGACGTTGCCTTGGCTTTCTGCAGCAGCGATTCGCTGCCTTTCAATGTCAACAGAGCCAGCTGTGCCGATCTTGCTCCCAGCACACTAATTTGCGTCATGCAGGACATCGTAGATCGGCGATGCCCCCCTTCTCGCTCCTCAGCTGCCTTTTATCTTCAGACTCCTGCAAGCGAAAGCACATGCTAATATTTAATACTACGTGAAAAACATGTTCAGACATGGTAATATGCACACGAAAAATCGCATAGCCCATGACCAAGGGTGCACACCGTCTGCTACGAGGGCAGCGACCCAGGGGGCGGGGGGGGCGGGGAGAGGGTGGGAGGCGAGGAAAGGGCATGTTTTATGTTTCTTCTGGATCAACCTCTGGTCATAAATGTCATAAATGCAGCCGGGCACACGGACTTTATGCTTCGCCTGGGTGACCTTGTAGGCTGCCACTCGACTTGATCTAGCTGATGCCATGCTAAGGACATTTGTTAATTTTATACATAAGTATGCATTCAGCCATGACATGACATGAAGGAAGATAGTAACTGGTTGGCATGTTTGAAGCACGATAGAAGGTGCTACAAACTCAGTGGTGGAGCATGCGTCCGAGACGCCACCTATATCCTAACCAAATAATACCTCCCAGTGGCTGCACTTGCTCTTGCTCGTATCAAGCGGTAAATAAAATGAGACGTCAGCATAAAAACTGCATCCAGTACACCACTGGCATCATTCACTTCACAAAGACTCATCCTGAGTTCCAGATGTTGATAGATAGGCCCATGGATCGTAAACCATGGGGAGCCCTTATATCAGTATCTGGTCAGGCGACCACGTGGGGTGATGACTAAGAGGGTCCATTACCTCACCTGACAACAGGGGCTGCAAGGTGCTTCTGTCCCTCCCCATCAGACTTCTGGGCCCCTTAACCAGGTCATTGACCATTGGCTTGGCACATCAAGAGCAAGGAGCATGTACCCCTGGACCCACATTGCTTGTGCCCCTGATGATGGCTACATAGCTCCAGTGGCATGGTGTTCAGCTGACACTGGCATTATGTGATGCCCATGAGTGCTTTATCAGCACATTGAAATTGTATTGTCACACAAAGGAATGCATATCAGTTTTGACAAACCATCAGTAATATTTATTGAATTATTGAATTGTTGACAGCAACCTCTTATCAAGATATGCATTGACATCAGTTTCAAGACCTTTTACTTTATTCAATGTAGATATATGACATGTTTAGCATGACAAACTTATTGGAAACATTTTGTTGACACAAATATTGCTATAGTAACATAGTAGATCTAAAAAGAGCTTCCTTTTTATGGTGTCTCCTCCATATCTACAGCTTGCTATCCACTAATTAACCTTGAGGTTCTGCTGAATGCCTCCTAGAAAAAAACATAATTTGCCAGCATCACTGGAAAAATGCTGCTAGCAATCCTGCAACACTCCACCAAAGGAACAACACATCTTGTGATACCATTAGTTTTCTCTAGATTGTGATTACATTGATACAGAATATCATAGTGTCAATCTTATGGTAAGCATAAGTCAGGCTCTTAGGCATCATGTCAGGTTAAAACTGACCCATTTCAACATGGCAAACACATATCCTTGCACAGAACTTCATTTGAGTGTTTGGGGAGGAACATAGGAAGAAAGATGGGATGCTGACCTATAACAGCAGAATTACTTGATGATAAAATGAATAGTTAAGAACCATGAAGCCTTCTTTACACTCCCGCTCCACAACACTGAAATCTTCTTTTTTTGTATGTGGGAGGCACAACAATCTAAAACAGTACAAGTGCACAACAATTGCACCACAATCTAAACTATTTCCATGCACAACCATCGGTGCATTTAGAACACTTCATTTAGGTAAATGGCCTTACTGCACAGTATTTGTAATATTCATTGAATAGTTATATCCTCGAGCCAGACAAGCCAGAGCCAGGGAAAAATGACCAGGGACCTTTAGACATCATGTTTACGATGTACCAGCACTAAATATTGGGGGTCACGAGCCAGCATTAGGCGAATTCATATCGACACTGAGGGCAAGAGCCTTACCAACAGCAGATAAATCGTCAGCCCTGCTTCCAATAACTCATCCGCGCCTAAATGCTGTGAATAATATGCCCCAAAACAATATCCACAAACCCAGCGCCGTGCCATCAGCTGCCTTAGCCTACAATAGCATTAAGTCTCGGCTGCGTCAAGACTGTATTTTTACATTTGATTTGTATCCAAGCCGCTAAAGCTTTTTTACCTAGAGACCTCCACGGGTATTTGGTGGTATTTTGTAGCCTGGGCACTTCTCTAATTTTGTTGAAGTTTCCAGGAACGGGACGCCCTGTGGTATGTCGTTTTGGTCTTGGCAAATTCAAAGTGGAAGTGGGTGGAGCGGTGGTTGGGCTGTGCATACATGCGCACCAAATCACAACTATAGGCATACACCGTCTTTGCAAGTGATGGAGCAGTTGCTTGCGTAGCTATTTAACACACGGCGATTTATTTAGAAGCGTCCTCTGCTTGGCATGCACATTCTATGTTTGCCGCATCATGGATACCTTAAATACCTTCTCATGTGACTCTTGGTGGATATGCGGCATGAAGATAAAGTGCGCGGCTAACTCCGCAGAGCTATAACAATAGGAACCAGGTGAAGCTATTACGCTGAGTGTAGATAAATAACGTGTCAATGGTGACTATATCGTCTAGCGTTGTAACCTCTTACTCGCATGATACCCAGTATAAGCGTTCCAAAGTGAGTCCAGTTCGATGCGCAGGATGTAGATATGAAGTTTTTTTCGCTCCCCGGAAGCCTCCACACGCACATTTCGTTGGCAGCTTATATAAAGACATGAAGACATCTGTCCGACAAAAAGCCGCGAGGACCCATCAAGGCTGGCCCAGCCTTGATCTACCTCATGTTCCGAACGCGCCCTCGAAAATAATGTTATTTGCTTGAATTTAGCTATAAATGAGATCTCCAGACTGATAGGACTTGTCCAGACGGTTTTTGAATGTTGCTAGGAAAGTACTCACTACAACTTTGTCGACCCATTCCAATGGTTCACTACTCTTAGACTAAATGGCATCTACCTCATCATAGCTCTACTCCTATCATTTGCTAAATGAAGCTGGTTTCCTCCATGCCTCAGCCTAATTCCCCGTGCTCCATGCAGATCTACCTTTCATGATCTTGTATACATGTTGTCCAATGACCCCAAACCCTGACATTCGACATCACCCGCCGATGTGCCGGCCCCGAGGTGTCTACATGCTTGGTTTACCGCCGGCCGGCTTAACACTCATTAGCCAATCTCGCGAAAAAGGGGAGCAACAGGCAGTGATGTCCGATCCGGGTGTGAAAGCGTGCAAAATGGCGGCATATCGACACCTTAAAAATGCCGGCATCGCACCCTGACTGCTGGTCTGGGCGCTGGTCAACTGGTCAAATGTTGCCACACGACCCAGTCTAAGCGACGTATTGCGTTATGAAACTGGATGATGTTGTCGCCACTCTAACAAGTGTGTGATCCCCATATAACATTATCTTGTATCAAACCATGTGCATGTGCGGCGATGTCGCAGAGATGTGCGGATATGGTGAATGGTTGCATTGGATTAAACCGGATCCAGTTGCCTGGTCGGCAGAAATTTTGAATGTTATCGTCCGTATGCGGGCATATACGGCTGAACGATGTTTATGCATCCGCGCAATACCATGACACTTTGGCGATGACATCTTATGTTTTCAGTGATGTTTTCCTTAACACGTTTTCAGTGATGGCATCACTGAGCACACATAGAGAACGTGGGGCAATGGTGACTTTCGGTCTGGTTGTGTGCGGCACTTGGCGCCACCACGAATTCCAACCGAGTTATGCCAGAAAGGGGACCATCACAGAGAAGGACCGAACCCTGCCATATTGGTGTGCTCGAGCTTGGACTTCAGACGTGCGAAGAGCTGGCGTCACTTATACCTAGTGGTCTAGCATCGGCACCGAACAATCCTAGGAATGCAGAACTTTCGCACTGCTCCTTCGCGCCTGGTGCTTGCTCCTCGCGCTTGTCCTACCGCTCCCGTTCTTGCCACTCCCACGGCAAGACCGGGAGAGCCCAATGAGAGAGGAGGGTGACAATAATGCTCCTCAAACACCATTCTAGCTTATTGCAGCTGGTTAGAGGTGTCCGTGCGGGTGTCCAACGCTGGCCACACGTGGCAGTTTGCGCCTCCT